TCTTCTAGTCTGTTCTTTCACAGAACCACAGAATCTCAAAATTGAAAGGAACCTTATTGACCATCTCTATTCTAACCTATATCAAAACAGGAATCTGTTCCACAATATTGTGAAGAAATGATCATGCAGAAATTTCCTGCCTCCTCAAGTAGCCTATTGCTCATCCACTTGGCTTTTGTTGTGTGGCTAGTTAGGCAAACTTCTTTTTGTATTAATTAATTTATTCTTTTTTGTTTGTTTGTTTGTTTTGTTTTTGTTAGGCAATGGGGTTAAGTGACTTGCCCAGGGACACACAGCTAGTAAACATTATGTGTCTGAGGCCAGATTTGATTTGAACTCAGGTCTTCCTGACTTCAGGGTCGGTGCTCTATCCACTGCACCACCTAGCTGCCCCCATAATTTATTTATTTTTAACATTCATTTAAAAAAAATATTGAGTTCCAAATTCTCTCCCTCTCTCCTGCCCCTCCCCTAGCCATTGAAAAGGCAAGCACTATGATATCAATTATATGTCCAAAATCATGCAAAGCATATTCCATATTAGCCATGTTGCAAAGAAAAAAAAATTAACCAACCCAACAACAACAATAAAAAGCAAGAATGAAAGTGAAAAGTGAAAAAAGTATGCTTCAATCTGCACTCAGAATTCATTAGTTCTCTGTCTAGAAGTACAGTTATCCCTTCCACATCATAGGGGTTGTGGCACAGCACCCCCATGATCAGAAAATCCCTATAAAATTTTTTGGCTCTCTCTTCGTACCAGAGAAGAAGCCTTGAATTTTTTTTTTCTCTTATGGGGTGTACTTTATTTTTTTTGTACTTATTACAGTACTTTATTATAAAATTTGGATTTATTGTTTTTTTGTACTTATTACAGTACTTTATTGTAAAATTTGGATTAAATATTTGGTCTTAGGCTCTGTGTCATCTGCGGCTTCTGCAATACTCCCCCAAAATTCCCATTTCATTTTTTATGCCGACCTACAATATATGGAAATTGCTGTGGGGAAAGTCATGATGCGGAAGGGACAATTGTAGATAGCATTTTTCATCTCGAGTCCTTTGGAATTGTCTTGGATCATTGTATTGATCAGAGTAGCTAGATCTTTCACAGCTGATCATCATTATAACACTGCTGTTACTGTGTCCGATGTTCTGGTTCTGCTCACTTCACTTTGCATGAGTTCATATAGGTCTTCCCAGGTTTTTCCGCAACCATCCTGCTTGTCATTTCTCATAGCCCAATAGTATTCCACCACAACTTGTTCATTTCATTCCATTCCACCTTGTTCAGCCACTTCCCATTGATGGTCATCCCCCAATTTCCAATTCTTTGCCACCACGAGAAAGAACTGCTACAAATACTTTGTTCATATAGGTCCTTTCCCTTTTTCTTTGATTTCTTTGGTATACAGAGCTACTAGTGGTATTACTAGGTCAAAGGGGATTAGGCCAAACTCTTTCAAGTAATCCCTTATAGACTACCTATGTGAACACGGGAATTTAATTTTTTTTTTCTGAGCCTTGGTTCCCTCCTCTATTAAATGAGGTTGACTTAGATAATCTCCAAGTCTCCCTCCAACTCTAAAGCCTATGATTCAGCTAGCATTTCCACACAAGATTCCTTCCTTTGTGGGATTCTGGACAATTTGAAATGTCTCCAGCTCCTCATGCTCCCCTTGCCTTGAGTTTAGCGGGCACTTTATTGAGGGGATCAACTTAGTCACAGTTCCCATTTCCCATTTCCTTAGTCATAGGACATTCCTCATCCTTCTAAGACACCAGGTAGGAAGTGCTCATCCCTCTTCCAGAGGTTGCACTCTGGTCTGGGGAGTCAGGAACCCTCAAAAACAGACAACTCTGTCCTGCATATACCCACGTGCAGGAAAGGCCCCGCCCATTTCAAGGATAGCTCCACCCAAGAGGCTGAGTCATCAGACTCTTAGCTACTGGGGTGACCAAGGCACAAGCAGAGAAGGAAGAGAGAGGAGCAGAAATCAGCAAGCAGGGAGAGAAGGAGGTTGGAAAGGAGAGGGAGAAGACAGCTGAACGGCTAAATGCCTCAGCCAAGCTCTACTGGTTGGGTTGAAGAGGTCACAGGGGTAGAAAGCAGCTCTAAAAAGTAGAGAATGAAAGTCAGATTACAGATGAATTCACAGGATCCCAGAATTTTAGAGTGGGAAAGGACCTTGGTGGCCATCTAATTACCTTTAATAATCTTCCAGTGAGAATCAACTGTTTTCCATTGGTTCTATGTTCCCCATACTCCTATCCAAAGAGCATACAAAGTCTCTACTTCCTAAATACACCAGGGCAGCTGTTCTTGTTGTTGTTGTTCATCCTTCATTCTCCAAGAGGACCAATGACATCATGAGGGTGATGTCATGACTTGTGAGTGAATTGGATGTGAGTAGGGCAGAGACACAAAAAGGAATAGCAAAGTAGGCTGGCAGGTGAGGGGATTGGGGGGGCAGGCAGAAATAGTCTATTTTATTTTAGGCCTTGAACATATGTAGTCACATGGTGATTGTTGTTTTTTGGTCATTTTCAGTCATGTCTGACTCTTTGTGACCCCTTTTGGGGTTTTCTCGGCAAAGATACTAGAGTAGTTTGCCATTCCCTTCTTCCGATCATTTTACCTTTGAGGAAACTGAGGCAGACAGATGTTAAGTGACTTGTCTAGAGTGAAACAGCTAGTAAGTATCTGAGACCAGATTTGAACTCAGGTCTTCCTGACTCTAGGACCAGCACTCTATCCACTGCGCCACCTAGCTGCTTCATGACACATGGTTATTGCAGTGTAAAGAGTTTGCAGTTAAAGGGCCTGGATACAAATCCTTGCTCTTTCCCTGACTACCTGTGTGACCTTTGACAAATCTCTCTACCTCAGGGGCATAAAGGTGTATAACAAGTACAAAAAACCAATCTAGTCGATAGAGCACTGGCCCTGTATTCAGGAGGACCTGAGTTCAAATCCACCTCAGACACCTAACACTTACTAGCTGTGTGACCTTGGGCAAGTTACTTAACCCCATTGCCTAGCCAAAAAAAAAAGGAAAGGCTCCAAATCATTCAACCTCTCTGAGCCTCATTTTCTTTTAAATGAGAGGGTTGAACTAGATGATTTTGAAGATTTCCTTCTACATCTATATCTACAATCTTAAAATCATTTTGGAAATAGTCCATATGGTTTCTCCCCATGGTCATGCTGGTTCTACCTCACCTCCCAGGTCCAGCTCCTCCCATTTGCAGAGCAGCTATAGCCCCACTTAAATTTCCTCACTTATAAAGTGGAGTTCATGATCCACGAAAAGGCTAAGTTATTGCACTGTCAATTCAGAACATGGCCTTGGCTGCTTTTCCATTATGGTTCCACCTGGCCTAGCTAGATTTCTCCTCCCTGGATGTGTTTTGCTTCCCTTCAGTGCCCCCAACTAGAGGAGAAAACAACCTGGGATCCTAATCTTTCTTGATCAAGTGTTGATCATATAAATGTCTCATTTGAAGAGAAGATAGTGAGACCCCTGCCATCTAGGAAGAGAAAAAATGATGTTTATGAAAAAACACAGGATTTGGACTCAGAGGACCTTGCTTTGAATCCTGACTCGCTGCCTGTCTTACCTTAGGCAAGTCACTTCACTGTTCCTCATTTTTAAAATAAAAGGATCAGACTAGTTGGTCCCTGCCAGCTCTCTCTGAACCTATGATTTCCTGCAGCCTGGAAAAAAGTTCTTAGAGATCAGCGGTATCTTTTGAGTGAACACTCCCTAGAAGAAGGTTCCTGTTCCACATAATAGTAGTAGTAGTAGTAGTAGTAGTAGTAGTAGTAGTAGTAGTAGTAGTAGTGGTAGTGGTAGTGGTAGTAGTAGTAGTAATAGTTACATTTATATAGCACTTTACCCCTGTCATCTCATTTGATTCTCACAACAACCTATGAGACAGAAGTTATTATTGTTAATCCCCATTTTATAGATGTGTAAACTAAGGCTGAAAAAGATTAAGCCAGTTGCCTAGAGGTACACAGCGAGGAAGTTTCTCAGATAGGATTTGAACTCGCAAGTCCAGCACACTCCCCACTGCTCTACCTAGGTGCCTCAGAAAATAGAAGGCAGAAATGTATAACCATTAGGATTGTCCAGCAATGGAACAGGCCGCCTTGTGAAGAGAAGGAGCTCACTGGAGATCTTTAAGTACAGCCCTGGGTGTCCACTTGTTGGAAATGTTGTTGAAAGTTGGACTAGATGCCCTTAGGGGCCTTTTCAGCTCTGAGATTCTCTAGTTCCCCGAAGATGTTTTCTTCCTCCTTTTTCTTCCCTTTCCCCCATGTGTGCGCATATGGGCATACGCTCACGAGCGCACACACACACACACACACACACACACACCAATCCTACCTCCCCACCACAGGGAGCTGACTCAGGACCAGCTGTGGGGAAGGCACAGAAAGGGGAAGTAGGGAGAAAAAGCTGTCAGAGAGGTCACTGAGTGCCACTGCTGCCAGATAAACAACTAGCCCATCCAGAATATCTCCAGTCTTTCTCCTCAGTGCCAGTGGCCTATAATTCTATTTTTAAAACTATATTCTTTCCCTCTTAAGTCTGTACAAACAGGATCCCTTCATTCCTATAAAGATAGCAGAAAGGAGAAAGGTTCTTTTTGTCCTCTTCTCCTCCCCTCCCCTCCCCCTCCCTCCTCTCCTCTTCTTTTCCTCTTCTCCTCTCCTTCCTTTTATTTCTAAAATGATAAGTTGCAGAGGACTGCATCAGTACAGGGACTTTCTTCATCTGGGAGTTCTCTATACCAGTGAATCACAGATCCAGCCCCTATTTCTATAATTTCCCATGGCAGGAGTATGGTCTCTGTATCTGTTTAATGATGTCGTCATCTCATTCTCCTGTGCTCACCTCTATGTTCCACAACATATCTATCAGCTTACTGATGTCCACACTTTCTTCACGCCTCCAAATCTTCTCTCCCTCTTTTTGCTTTCACTATCCCAGAAACCCAAGTACCAAGTGCACTGGAAGATCATTGAGGCTTGCGAAGGGAACAACTACATCTTCATTGATCCTACACAGCTGCCCTATAACGAGAAATGGGAGTTCCCCCGAAATAACCTGCAGTTTGGTGAGACAGGCTGGTGCCCATCTGGGTCATAGAGTCAGGAGGGTGGTTTAGCCCCACGAGCTAGTAAAGGAGAAAGTCTAGTTGTCCTGACCTTCAGCACAGGACATTCTCCTGGGTACAGATTGATTTGGGGAGAGGTGGGTTCCTGAGGGAGTGGGACCTAGGGACTCTCACCTCCCCTTGCTGGGAAAATACATACACACACACACACACACACACACACACACACACACACACACACACATATATACTCCAACTGTTCCAAACAGACTGCCCAGAGAAGACATATACAGTAAAGATAGTCCGATGGGTCACACAATAGGATTATGGGATATACTATAATTGTGTCCACCTTCAAGTAGGCTTTGCTCTTTGACATATAGCGTATATGCTGAGAGTATTAAAAAAAAATAAAAGTGACTCACCCAATCTAAGACTGTTTGGACAGAACATTGGCCTAGGAAAGAGTCAGTAGACTTAGGGTCATATCCCATGTACAATATCAACTTTTTGTGTGGCCTTGGGCAAATCACTTACATTCTCTGGGCCTCAGTTTCCTCCTCTGTAAAATTGTGGGAATTGGACTCTATGCTCTCTGAGGGCCTTCTACCTCTAGGAGCTATTTTCAAGAACTACATATCTCCTGTACTCATTGCCTCCAATCCCAGACCGTTTGTGTGTCTCTCCCCCTTTCCCCTCCCCCCATCCTGTATAGTATTTACTTCCTGGCTTACATCTCTGCTTGACATCCAGCTGAGCTTGCTTCAATAGAGTTGAGTTGGGTTGAGCTCCTTGACTGGGAAATTTGCTCTGTTCCCTGCCCATCTCACCCTCTGTACTCCCCATGTATTCTTCCCTCCCTCACCAGTTCCCCACCAGAACACTGAACCCCTTATTTGGTGGCAGGTAAGACACTGGGAGCTGGAGCCTTTGGGAAGGTAGTAGAAGCCACGGCATTTGGACTGGGGAAGGAAGATGCCGTCCTCAAGGTGGCTGTGAAGATGCTGAAGTGTAAGCAGGAACCAGGGTGAGGGATGGGCTCGGGGGCATTCCGAGGCAAAATGCAAGGGCTAGAGGGATTCAGGGTAAGGGGCAGGGAAGCCCAAGGTGAGGGGCAGGGCCCGGGAAACCCAAATTGAGAAGGAGGGGTAGACGGGAACCCAGGGTGAAGGGCAGAGGCTGGATGAGTCCAGGGTGAAGGATGGGGTATCCATCCAACAGATGAGGTTGGGTCTTTAAAAGTCATCTCAATCAGGAGGGCCTGAGTTCAAATTCGGCCTCAGACACATAACACTTACTAGCTGTGTGACTAGGCAAGTCACTTAACCCCAATTGCCTCACAAAAAAAAAAAGTCATCTCAAGAGCTAAGTCTCACCTTTCTCTCCCTAGTGATCAGATTGTGGGAAGGTAGCTCTGACCTCTGTCTCCCTTGAGCTTATATATCCAAAGGTCAGCTTGGTAGGAACTCGAGATCAGGATACTTGGGTTCTCTTCTAGGCTAGCTTTTCGTCTCTTTCCTCTCTCTGCGTCTTAAGACTTTGGGCAGGCCCCTTGTCTATCTCCCTCTCAGGGGGCTTGCCCTGGTTTTAGGAGAGGAATCTGAGTTATGTCTTCAGACTGTAGGAGGCAGGTGTGACCAAGAACCACAGGCCTAGCCTTGGCCTTCGGTGGGTCCTGACATCCTTGCTACAAGAGCAGTAGCACCTTCTCCATCTCACACTGTCATTTCTCAGTGCCTCTCTTGGTGTCTCTATGTCTCTCTACTTCTATATCTGTCCCTCTCTGTCTCTCTGTGTCTCTCTCTCCATCTGTTGGTATCTCTTTACTGCTCTCTTTCTCTTGAGCATCTATTTCTCCACCTGTGTGGCTCTCTTCATGTATCTGTCTCTCTTTCCCCTTCTCTTGTTCTGCTTTGATCCCTCTTCTCTGTCTTCCAGCCACTGCTCATGCAGATGAGAAGGAGGCCCTCATGTCAGAACTGAAGATCATGAGTCACCTGGGACAGCATGAGAACATTGTCAACCTGCTGGGAGCATGTACCCATGGAGGTGAGATGCATTCTGCAAGGAGGGACCAAACAATCTCAGAGGCCAGCCAGGGGCTCCTTCTTGGAAAAGCATTCAGTAGGCAGAGATAACAGAGTTCTGGGCTATGCCCCAAACTGAGAATCTTAGAGTTATAGAATCACAGGATGATGTAATATCACAGCTGTAAAGAGGTTTTGATAACCTCACCAAGGACATACAGCTAGTTAGAAGCATGGCAGAGACTTAAACCCATCCAGTCCAGAAGTATTTATTCCTCTACTCACCATGAGGTCTTTAGTCTCCAGGAGATTACCTGTCCCTTAACATGCATGTTCTGCCAGGTACCTGATCCTTACCATGTGTGTTCCCCTGGGGAGTTTTGAGCACCAAACTGCTCCCCCTCTTCCCCAGGGCTGAGTGTGCCTCCTGGTCCCTCCTAATCTAGGCCCAGTCCTGGTCATCACAGAGTATTGTCACCATGGTGACCTGCTCAACTTTCTACGCCGTAAGGCAGAGGACATGTTGGTGCCAACCCTGAGTTCTGAGCCTGATGGAGGCCCCGGGTACAGGAACATCCATTTGGAGAAGAAATATATCCATGGGTAAGGGCACAAGACAGCCTGGGATAGGGCACAGGCTGGGAGGCATGGTGCTGGGGTGAGGCATGAGGAAGGGAGAGAAAGGCAAGGTTATATTGACTTCTGTTCCCCCATCTCTACCATAAGGAATAGCTACTCTAGTTCATAGAGCTCTCTCTTAATTTTCCATGCCAGTGAAGAGACTCAATCAATAAATAAATCAACAAGCATTTATTAATTACCTGCTATGTGCCAGGCATTGGCTGGGGGCAGGGGCAGGGGCAGGGGAGAGGAGTACAAAGAGTAAAAAATGAGAAGTCCCTGCCCTAAAAAAGTTTACAATTCAACAAACGTCCCAAACAACGGCTAATCCAAAAGGCTTTTCTCCTTGACTTTAGAATGTAGCCTATTCTTTGAGGGGTGGGGGACATTTTGGGGGAAGGGGATCATAACAAGCCTGAAGTGGGAGTGGCAATGCTGACCGGTTGCTTAGAGTAAGTTTTAGGCTGACAGGGTACACAACTCCTATTGCTCTCCCCTGGTTGCAGCCTTTCTTTTTACCTAAATCCAAGGTGGGTTGACTGTAGAACATTTCCCTAGACGGCCATTTCCTTAAAAACCCTGGGGCCCCAGACCACTTGAACGTGAGGCAGGTGTTTGGGAGGACTCAAGGATAATGACAAGAGGAGGGTGGGTTGCGGGGGGGGGGGGGGCCTCTTAATGGCCTGAACTGGCCTCGTGGCCCCTACCTGGCTGAGGTAGGGACAACACCTTCTCTAGCCAGGGCCTGGACACCTACGTGGAGATGAGACCCGTCTCCTCCTCCTCTTCTAGCTCCTTCTCTGAGCAGGGTAAGGAGAGGGCTGGGGTTGGAAGAGGGGGAAACCCTGGGAGAAAGGGAGGGGAGGAGCTGATTCAAGTGGTACAGGGGGACAAGGAAGAGGATGGGGAGTGGAGAGGGGGGATATGAAGGGACAGGGGTAGGGAAGCAGGGAGCAGCCCCTTCAACAAGCTACTCTGTACCTAGACCTGGACCGGGAGGACGGGCGGCTTTTGGAGCTCTGTGACCTGCTGCGCTTCTCCAGCCAAGTGGCCCAGGGCATGGCTTTCCTCGCTTCCAAGAATGTGAGTGTCTGAGGCTTGGCCCTCAGTGCCCACCTCCCCACCCCCAACCCCCAAGGGCCTATTAGATACCAGGGACTCACTTTCCCTAAAGGGCTGGGTATGAGGGAGAATGTGGGAGAGGGAAAGAGGGAGGGCTACAAAGGGTGTGTGTGTGTGTGTGTGTGTGTGTGATTCTGAGTAGGTGGGTATTGTTTCACTCTTTATACTTGTATTTCCAGCATCTAGCATAGCGCCTGGCATTAGTGTTTCTTGAGATAAACGTATTTGTACGTGTGTGCATGTGCATGTGTATGTATCCACATGTGTTCTAGTAAAGTGGGTGAATTTGAGAGCTGAAGTGAGCAAGAAAATAGTTCATGGGTGACTGGGGAAAGAATAGGGCCTGAGCTCTCCTCTCCTACTGGAAGCCCAATGTACTGATGGTAATTCTGAGGCCTCAACTCTTGCAGTGTATTCACCGGGATGTAGCTGCCAGAAACGTGCTGGTGACTAGTAGACGTGTAGCTAAGATTGGGGACTTTGGCCTGGCGAGGGACATCATGAATGACACTAACTATGTGGTCAAAGGCAATGTGAGTAATGTGAAAGGGAGATGGAAACTCTCTTGGGCCTAGGCCAAAGAGACGGGCAGGCTGGGACTAGGAAGGATCCATGGGGGACTTCTCTACCCCTGGGCTCTGTTGCTCCCTCCGTGATAGACTGGATGCTCCCTGTGTCTAGGCACGCCTGCCTGTGAAGTGGATGGCCCCAGAAAGCATCTTTGACTGCGTCTACACAGTGCAGAGCGATGTCTGGTCATATGGGATTTTGCTCTGGGAAATCTTCTCACTGGGTATGTATGGTGGCAGTAATGCTCAGGGCCCCATCTGATAGGCTGGGGAGCCTTCTCTGGGTCTGGGTCTGTCCTTTGAATATTCCCTTCCAGTGGTTAATTGGCCTTCAGGGCCAACAGGCCATCATGATTCATTCAGCATTTGTTTGCTGAATTCTAGGCTGGGTTTTGGGAAGGACAGAAGCAATACAAAACCCAATACCTCTCCAATTGCAGATATCTCTCCCCCAGTGCCCAAGTGGGAAGACAGTGTGTGTGGATGTGGAAAGGGGTAAAGGGGTTGAGAAAGGCATGTGGGTCAAAGCAGCTGCCATTATTATCAGAGTCTTGACTTTTGCAGGTTTGAGTCCTTACCCTGGCATCCTGGTGAACAGCAAGTTCTATAAGTTGGTGAAGGAGGGATATCAGATGGCCCAGCCTGATTTCTCTCCCCCAAACATGTGAGTTCAGACTCTGGGAAGGACTTAAATGTGATGTTCTCTCATGGTAACTGCTCAACAGTGACCCAGTAGGCCTTGCACCTTCTACCTGCCTTTAGGTATTTACTCATACCAACCTCTTGACATCCCTATCCTTCAAGACCAAGTTTAAAATGGCAACTCCTCTGTGGAGCCTTCCTTAATATCTTTTTCTTTCATGCTCCCACAACAGGCAGGTGGTTGTGAGGAAAGCACTCTATAAACCTTAATGCAGTACATGGACCCTACTCAGTACAGACCTCCAGTATGGAATTGAAGGGATGTGAGTTGGGTCTTGAAGGATGAGGAAGACTTAAGAAGGCTGGGAAGACAGTATTCCTGGTGGGAAGATCTAGAACAGGCACTGAAGATGGGGGAAAAAAGATGAGTGAAATTTTCTTGGGCTTCTCCTGTCCACCAGATACAGCATTATGCAGGCATGCTGGGACCTGGAGCCCACTCGGAGACCCACCTTTCAGCAGATCTGTTGCTTTCTTCAAGAGGAGATGGAGGCCACTAGCAGAAAGCAGGTAAGCTGTGGCCCAGGAGGAAGGTTTGGCCAAAGTGGCGGCATGAAGAGAAGGGGAGGAAGATAGCAGGGAGTGCAGATTCGCAGAAGGGGTATTCAGGATGCATACCATCTTGGGGTGGGGGGAGGGACGAGATGGGGAGAAAATTTGTAGCTCAAAATCTTGTGGAAGTGAATGTTGAAAACTAAAAATAAATAAATCAAAATGGTAGCATGGTGAACCTGAACAGGACTAACCCACTCTCCTCCTACATCTTCCTCTTCAGGACTATGCCAACCTGCCCAGTAGTGGCAGCAGTGAGGAGGAAGACAGTGTCAGCGAGCCCCCGGACTGCTGTGACCAAGTGGACAGCAGCCAGCCCCTACTGCAGGCCAACAACTACCAGTTCTGTTAAGCCAAAGTCAGTTCCTCTATGGAAGGGTCAACTTGGGGCATGAAGAAACACTCAATGATTTAGCTATTTCACTGAAGGGCTGGGCCCAACTCTGAAGCTCAGGAATATAAATAGGCTAGCTATTTCCCTGGGAATCCAGTTATTTCTGCATACCAGGGTCAGAGTGGCATATGGTGGCTGTGCTCCTGTCTAGGCCCTTCTCAACCCATTGGTGCTGTAACAGCCTATTTTACCATCTATTGCTAAGTATCTCAGCAACTTTATCCTTTTTCTCCTCTCCTTACTTAAATAATCTCGGCCCTTTACGGCTAAGAATTCCTCTCTCTCCACTCTGTGGAAGATTAAAACTAGACCTCAGGAACTGAAAAACTGCTTAATTGGTTGTGAGGTCCAAAGCCCAAACAATATGGGAGAGGCAGCATGGCATGAAGGATGGGCTGCAGAATCTCAAAGACCTGGGTTTGAATCTCACCTTCCACACTTACTAGCTATATGGCCCAAGACAAAAGGCCTGCTTCTTCATCTATAAAATGATGGAAGTTGGATTCTATTATCTCTAAGGTACCTTCCAACTTTAAATCTACAAGCCTGTGGAACAGTTACAGACCTGGATAGGCCAAGTGATAGAGCAGTGAAAGAAGTCACCTTGTCCACAAAGTGTCAGCCATCACTAGCAGCAGAGGCCAGTTCTCAGAGAGGCTATACCTCCTATCACCCCCACTCAGCTCAAAGCTTACATGTAGCATTTCTGCCACAGATAACTCCAGGGATGCATTTCCTTGGGGAGGCAACACAGCAAATTAATTTTGTGAAAGTTTGTTTTTGTGGATTTTTTTGGTTAGAGTTTAAGTGACTGGACTCCTAGGCTTCCTTCCCTGTTTATGCCCTGCTTTGGGTTATTATGGCATTAAAAAGTCCAAGGTTTAATAACATTAGGGCTTACCTTCTTCGGCCCTTTAAGTTATGAGTCATTGCCCTGAGGGCTGGCTAACCTTGGCATTTGGCTGGGCAGGCCCAAAATGTACCTAAAAGCATTAAACTAAGCTGCCTACTTTTAACTAACAGTCACCTCACAGGATGTCAAGGTCAAGATTAAACTAACAACATTAACTCAATCAAGTCTCTTGATTTCTTTCAAATTAAAAAAAACAAAACAAAAACAGAACAAAGCAACCACTATTCTTCACCCCTTTTCCAAAGCTGAAACCTCTCCTCATTGTGCCTGGCTCTTTCCCCTTGATGTACATAGAGTTCCTTTTTCTAATCTTGACCTTTTATACTGATGTGATGTCCTCTATGAAATCAAAATGCCACAGCTCCAAAGGATAAAAAACAATGCTAGGTCTTGGGCGCCCACTGGTATGGATGACATTTGAGTAGGGACAAGGGTACTTCCAAGGTTAAATAAGCTAATCTAGAGATGCTAAGATCCCAGGTCCGGTCTCCATATAGACATTAACTTCACTCTGTCTCTTTGGGAATGGCTCAGTGAAACCCATCCATATCACTGGTGCAGGGCTACTCACTCACCAACATATACCTCCCATGAGCGGCATCCACATTTTCCCCATACAAAGATCACACATAAGACTTTTGCTTCACCTCAAAATGTATAATTTATTAAACGTTATCATTTGGGGAAAAAAAATCACCAACTCCTCAAATAAATTAATCAAAAAATGGCAGACGTCCATACCAAAATGACCTTAGGTGTGTGGACCATTTCCGCCATTCTTGCAGTCCAGTCTGCTTCCCCTTCATGGAAGGGATGTTCATCGACACAACACGTGTGCCACAGCTCCTTTGCCCTTGCCTGCATCCTCCCCCCATCCTCCGGTCCCATGTCAACCCTGGACAATCAGTGGCTAAGTCCTCATCAGCAGAGTGATATGGGAATGTAGAGGAGGATGCAGCTGGAAAGAAAAGGAAGGGCGACTGTCTTCCTCAAAGCTACAATTGGGAATGATGTAGGCAGACCCAAGAAACAGAAATAGGAGAAGCTGAGTGCTCCTAGGCCAGCTGGTCCCTGACTACTTAATTATCTTTCAGTGGAGGACTCTCTGGCTTCCCACTGCTGCTCCCTAAAGCTGCTTCCAGATTTGGTTTCTATTGTAAGAAAAGACTTAGGCCATGAATAGGACATAGCACCAGAAAGAATAAAGTGCCCAAAGGGGTGGAAGCTGGAAATCACAGCACTGACAAATCTGATTGAACCATGCAAAAGCCCTGCAGGGTCTCTGGACGTCCTCTCTCAGAGCCAAAAATGAAAGAAATAGTGAGAGCTTCCTAAAAACAGGGTTATGACATGTCAAGTCTGGGATAGCAAATGCTCAGCCCAGCAGGAAGGACTACCTCAGTAACAGTCTGTTTCTTGGCCTCCCGTCCTGACCCACTGCTTCCTCCATTATGTAGATGGGAGCCCAAGTCCCACCACACACACACTCTTGGAAAACTGGGTTCCCGGGGGTAGGAGGTGGGGATTGGAGGGGAGCAGAGGCAGTTACAGACTGGCTTTGACATCGTAAGTGCTATTCCATGGCTGGAAGAGGATTCTGGAGCATCTACCACCATCAAATGAAGGTGGGACACAGCTCTAAAAGGAAACAGTCTCTACAGGGGGGCTTCTTGCCTGCCCTGAGAACAGATGGAAGCACATGGCTCTTTGGTCATCACAAGCAGTCAACAGCAAATGGCCTCTCTCTCACTGGAAGGCAGAGGGAAGTCACCGCCAGCCACCAGATGTTTCTGCCTGAGGGCACCCCTCAACTATGGCTTGAGACAGAAGGAGCAGTGCCTTCAGGGATGAGCCTGGCTTACTCAGAAGCCTCCCTCTCTTCCCCCTGAGGATCTAAATCTTCTTCTTCAATCTCAGTCTTGATCTGTGCCACCCCCAAGCGATAGAGAGTATCTCGGATCACCACCTCTCCTGGCTGACAGCTCTGTACAATGTCCTGAATCTGCCGGTTGACAATCTCTCGGCTGGTGAGAAAGTCTATGAGGCGGTTGTAGAGGTAATAATGAGTGGCATTGTCAAAGGTGACAGGTCGCTGGCGAATGTTGCTTGTCTTGCTGTCCGCAATGGCAGTGAGGACAGCTTCATAGGGTTCCAACTCTCGGCACAGGGAGAGCGAGTGGTGCCTGGAGCTGGGGTCACTGGGGTTGTTTGGGTCTGTTCCAGTGTGGACAATGCGCCGTGTGGTGGTTTTGGTGACTGGGTGCTGGACTGAGTGCTCAGCTACTGTCATATCCACAGTGTAGTGTCGGTCCAAAAGCTCTGGGCAGGACATGTACTGCAAGACACAGAGGGAAAGCCACACTCACAACAGGAAGTGATCAGTTAATTTAGGCCAGGGACTACAATGGAAGAGGGGAAGGTGTATATCTGGAGAGATAGATAATCTTCCTCCAAGTAGCACAGGCTGGGCTCATATTTAGTAAGAGCCCAAATCCTGAGGAGGATTAGACCAGTGAGGAAATACCTGGGGGCAGGGGAGTGTCTCAACCTGCTGTAACATGTCTTTAATACTTCAAGGTGTTGTGGGCTATTAACTATTATGGGCATTTCCTCCCTCAATGCTGATTGTAACTTCCCCATGCTTTGGAAAATAGCCTGCATGACTTGCTGTAGCCAAAGTAAATTTTGTCAGCTGTCTGCCGTTATCCACAAACTTTTCTGCCAAAATTTGATATTCTTCTGGCAGAGCTTTTGAGAGGCCAGGGTGCCTGACATACGATGATGTTGTGATTGCATCTTACTAGTGAAATAAGGAAGGGCCAAAAGGGGATTGGCAGGAAGTTTAGCATGAAATTGAGGGACCTGACTGACTTGTCCTTCCACCTGAGTCCCTTAGTAAACATTGGCATAAACATCAGCTATGGAATGACTATCATTAACACATTCCCATTACCCACAAAGTGAGTGACAGGTTCTGTTCTTAGCAATCTACTATCTAAAAGATTCATGTCGTAACAGTATATCGTAATGGAAAATAACTAGAATGAAAGTCAACAGACTTTTCTCTTGATATTCACGCTCTGCTGCTAACTGGTTGTGTGATCTTGGCTAAGTCACTTTACTAACCCAAAAGGAAGCAGGAGAAATGTGACATGGTTAAAGGTTGGTAATTAAGTTCAACATGAAGAGGTCCCAGGCAAATCTGTTCTTTGTGGCCCAAGGGTATGTACCAAGGTGCCTTAGATGACTCACTGTTGGAGGCTCTGTGGGGCTAGAGAAGCAGCCCTGGTTCCTCCCCCACATCTGGCTGGTCAGTTCTGGGTAGCACAAGTCAGCACACAAGGACACTGGTGTGGCCAGATCCACTACATAGACTGGAGGCCAATGGCGTGAGGAGGTGAGCAGGTCCACATGGTCACGAGCACTTTCCCCTCGAACCAGGTACTTGGATCCACATATCACCTAAGGCCAGAGGACACAAGACATAGATGAAGGAATACTTGACCAGAATTAGTTTAAGGAATAGTGCAATGACTAAGAATATCCCAAAGCACTTGCTGCTTTCCAAGATGTGTGTAAAAAAAAAAAATTCCAGTCTGAAAAAAGAGACTTCAAATCAGTGCAAAATCCACATCCACCTTCCCTCCATTCTTCCCTCCCAACTAGTTTCCTCTCCAGGTGAAGCTACTAGATCTGAATGTCCTATGGGCCATCTAGTGGCACCAAGAAGCAAATCCTGTTCTTAGCTGTCATGCAATGCTGCTTTGTCCCAATTCTGTGCTATTCTAGAAAAGAGATGGTTTAACATCTCTGCAGAAAGACCAGGAGGTGAATCTCAAAGCCATCTCTGCTACTCCTGCTTACTCAGCTAATGATTCCATGATCAAGGAACCAAGTACCTTCCCCTCACTAACAACCCTGATGTTTTCTTACCTGATGGGGACACACCTTGTAGATTTTGCCCCCTGTAAGGTGGGATGGAGGTTGTCTAGCTCCTCCCCCATTCTGTATAGATTCATAGAGAGCCAACAAGGAGTAACAGAGCTGATCCTGGAGAACAAAAGGAAAGACAACAGAAACTACTACTTCAGAATCTGGATCCAGGACTTGCTTAGTGATGCTCCCTTCTGGAGATCTTATCTGAACTTCTCTGGCCCTGGGTGCTGCTGTGTAGGGCTGCACACATTGCTTTGACTGTCATACAAACCATAAAGCTCTAGCCTCAACAACACTCTGTGCTAAACAGCCCGAGATAAAAAGGAGACTTAGATCCAGGGATATAAAACAACTTTGTTTTAAAAAAAAGTCATTAAAAATGAAATATTTGTGTGTTGAGTATTTTATATCTGCAAAAACTAACAAGTTATATCATAACTAATTGTTCAGCTGACTTCAGTGCCACCACCCAAAGCCTTGGTAAATCTTTTTGGGGCCACCACCTTGTAGACAAAGTCCTCAGTGTCACCAATGCTGCTCACCAGAATTCTTTCCCACTAGTAGGTCATCAGCAGGAACATTTTGAGGATGGTTTTCAATGTAAACTACTTTATAAAAACATAAAGAGTTCTAAAGTAGACAAAAGAAAGGAGACTTCCTCTCTGTTTAGGTTTTAAGTTCGAAAGAGTGAAGCTCATGTCTTTCCCAAATTTTGATGCCTACCTCAGATGGCAATGCCCCAAAGCCCTGGTACTGAAGACCTTCGGCAATTTCTAAGGAAGTCTCTGTGGAAGAGAGCTCACCAGGCTGAGCTCACATCATTTGGTCGTTTCAAAGAGGTTTGTCAGACACATTGGGGGGCATTTTAAAAGTCTGTGTCTGTGGCCTAGTCTGTAGCTCCCTATATATTGTACACAACAGTCTCCAAGAGTTCCTCTGTGACTGCTGAGTCACACCAACATAAATCTAATTGACCAGGGATGGGACTTCAGACAATTTTAGTTATTCTAAGATTGCTAGCAAACTCTCAGGGGTGATAGCCAGACATGTTCTAAAAACAAAACAAAAACAAAAACAAAGATTTGCCAAACTCCTAAGACAGTGATAAATACCTTTCCCTTTCCTCTCAGTATTGGAGACCTGATATAGGACTACTGGTTCTCATTGGCATGAAGGAAATTAACCACTTCCAGTTCTTTGAGGAATTCTAAGAACCCTAGAGCT